AGCGTCTATGTGGACCACAGATTCGTCTGTGTTTTTGTTTTTTACAGTTTTGTATTAAATGGAAAAACTTTTAATGCATTTAATAGAAAAGTTCAACAATATTGACAAACACTATTTTAGATAATAGGCTAGATTAGTAACACTCAGCAGTGACCAGTGTAACCATATTACGCCACGCTGCGCAGAATGTGTGGCCTGGTAAATAAGTCCTATTCATAAAGTCTCCAAGAGGCAGGTGTGGGTTTGTCAGTGGCTGCTGTGTGCAGAAGACTTTATAAACAGAAATACAGAGGCTGCACTGCACGATGCTGATTCTTCTGCTGTCAGCTGTTGAGGCCTTAATGGTTCCAAAGCTCTCTGATTCTCTTTCTTCTTAATAAAGTTCTACACGGTCAGGTTTGGTGAGCCTCAGGATTGGTTGGAGTCTCTTACTGCTTTATTCTCGTCTCTCAGCCTTATAATGATTTCCTTAGCTTTCTTTTTCACAACTGTGGTCCTCATGTTGATAAACAGCAAAAGCAGATTCCACAGGTGACCCAGGTTGTAAAAGCCTAAATAAAAACCTGAATAAAACACAGTTTATTAATAAGAGTTAAGCTACAGAACATTAGAACCATGAATAACTCATTCTTCATTCTAAAAGAAGAGAACTAAGAGTAACAACTGTAAAATATTTAGTTATAAGTACTTCTGAGTCAGAACTCAGTCTGTATGCAATGAGCTGAGAAAATAGAATAAAATAAATAAGGACACAAATATTAGAAAACAATAAACTTTATTGAGTTCATACATCTCCTTTTCACTGATTTGTGGAGATATTTTACATTATTGATCCAGCCAGCCAATAAGGTGACTGGTTATATGAACCTGAGGGTAAAGTACTGCTGGACTAAGTGCCGAACTTCCTTTTGGGTCCAGCCAGCAGCCAAAGCAGCGGGTCTCCCTGCAACAGAACTGACATAAAAGCTGAAAGTTGGATGTACTCGATTATGGAGGACCTGGTCTGCCAAATTGAAAAATAAATAAAATTAAAAATAAATGACTCAGGAAATGAATAAATGAATTAGAATTAGCAAAGAATAATGACTATAAATTTAAAACTTAATAAATACACCCAGAAATTAACATATCAATGAATAAAACCTTACATACATTAATATGGCTGCATTTACTTGTGTGTCTATTTAGTAATTTCCGCTCCTCACTTATTTTTATATTTATTTATTTTGTTATTGAGGAAGACGGAGTTGCCATGATACCACTTTTTTATTTTTTAAAACAGATACAGAGATCGAGTCCTTCGTTCTGATATTTTTTTCTTCAAAATCTACTAAGCTGTTAAATTATCTAATTTTTAATTGATTCATTTAACTTAATATGAAAGTGTAAAAGTAGTCTGTGATGCTGTAACGACACAGCTAAAATCACATCACACAGTGTAACTGACCGTTTCAGGGTAGATTTTATACAAAGTTGGATCCAGTTTATTAATTTCCCACTTACAGCCCATCCAGCATTTTCTACTGATATCAGGCTAAAACCAATACCTGGTATCGTATCAGTGGCATCTCTAGATGAAGGCTATTTTTGGTTTGTGCAGTAGACATATAATAATGACCTTTAGAATCTTAATTTATAGGAAAAAAAGCATTTAACTGAAATCTGTACATTTACTTTTATGAAGGATGTCGCGTTCAAGAAGCTGTGCGCCGTGAAGATCCAGAAGGAAGTGAAACGCGTGCTCTTCAGCTGCAGACGGTGCGCCGCAGAAGGTATTCTGTGCCTGCTCCTAACAGTTTGTGGCATATAGATGGCAACCATAAACTTATTCGGTAAGGATGTGCTTATATGAACACTGTTTTAAATACATCATACAATTCATACAGTGTAAAATCATACAGTTCTTTTTGCATGTATGGTTTTATTTATGCCAGGGCTGCCCATATCTGTTCTTAGTGAGGCAACATAGACGGTTTAGTTCCATCACTTCTGGTTCTAATTCTCAGAAGCTCCTGAAGGTCTTGATTAAAAAATTCCCTTGTGTGGTAAATCACAAGGACTGGACCTGGGCAAGCTTGGTTTATACTGAACATACAGTCGCACACGGAGTGTAGAGCATTAGAGACATTATGTATATGGAAATTAAATGTATCTATCTTATGACCTCATGAGGAGGCGTGTTCATTGTTAATCACTTTGTTATATTTAAATAGCAAATTCTTTCCATCCTAAAACATTGGTGGAAGTTTATATGCTGTATTGTAAAAACATAAAATGCATTCTTTAGTTTATTAATTTTAATAAAATAGAATTAGGTATTCATGTGTGTTTATAGTATGTTTCAGATAACAAAGTAGTGTCTACTAGTAAGTAGTTTCATTTCTATAATATGTTACGATTTTCAGTTTCTTAAATTACAGATGGGGAATAGTAGTTCATGGTGGCATTGACGGCTTTAGTCGTCTAATTGTGTACCTTAATGCTGCCACCAACAACCGGGCCTCAACAGTCACAGGCAGCTTCCCTGAAGCGGTCAATACCTATGGAGTGCCTTCACGTGTCAGGTCTGACAAAGGAGGAGAAAATGTTCAGGCTGCACATTTCATGGTGTCCACTAGAGGCCTAAATAGGAATCCCCACATCACTGGGAGAAGCACACACAATCAGAGGAACCATTCTGTAAAGACTCTGTGTTCACATTCATTTTCAAACTGACTTCGGTAGAGTCCAACTAAAACGCTTTTTCTTTGGGTTTAGTCAACTACATTTTTTCATGCTTGGTCACTCTACCTAGGATAGACAGATCGTGGAGAGATGTCTTTGGGGGAGTTTTAGATCTCTTCTACACCATTTTCTGCAACCTGGAGAGGGAGGGCCTACTCAGCCCAGATGAAGAGATCCACATCTGCACACTGCACTGGACCTTTCTTCCACATATTCAGAGGCATTTGCAGTTCTTCAAGGATGGCTGGAACCACCATAGATTGTGCACAGAGGAGAATCAGTCACCACTTCAACTATGGATGCAGAACCAACTTGAGGGGCATCAAGACCCTCCCCAGGTATGTTTGAAACAAGGCTAGAAGTAAACCTCTATCTATAGATAGCCAAACAATTTTGTACAAGCTAAGGAATTTAGGATTAATACTAATGGTGTCCAGCATTTTTTCATGTATTAAGTAGTTCATCAAATAACAATGATGTACTTTACCACACATTCTTACATTATTAGTGATATGTTCAATGACTGGTTACAGTTTATGCATTTTCAAGCATGCCCTTATGCTGGCCATAATGAATTACACACGACCAAAACATGCTTGTTCTTTCTGTGCTTCTTTTTTTGGTCCTCCTTAAATATACACTTTGAAAAAAGGCAAATAATTTGCTGTTCAAATTTTAATGTTCAATATAATTCTAGGTTGATCCTGAGTGTGGGATTGACTGGGAAGGTCCACATGGATACCACCACGAAGGAGTCACAGTTCCTGAGGTTCAGCTTCCCCGGCCACTATCTGAGGTGGAAGTGCAGAGACGGCCAAATCCACGAGGTCCTTTTTCCAGTGTATTAAATCTGTACAGTGAGACAGTTGTGGTGTTAACAGATATACTTTCAGATGTTTAAAGGACAGACATCTGCTGACATGTTTGGGTTTTGGATGTTATTCTAATATTATTTGATATCCATAGCACACAACCTTGTGAGATGGTCATTATTAAGCAGAGCAAGCACTAAAAACATATGAGCCCTGTCTTTTCTCTGAGTTTGATGCCTATATAGCAAATATGTGCAGGCATCCTATCGTTATGATGTCATCATTTTGTTTACCTAGAATTGTAGCATACCCTGTTGAAGGGTCATAATTGTTGAGGTCATTGCCTTTGCAATTAATAACCATTCATTAATTCTTATTTAGCTTGTGCTTCCACTAACTGGCCACTTTACAAGAAATACTTACCTTGTTCTTCCACTCACTGACCACTTTATTAGAAACACCTATGTTGTACTTCCACTAACTGGCCACTTTATTAGAAACAACAGCTTAGCCACCATTCATCATTGGTCAGTTACTAATCATTGTTGATCTGATATTTTTTGAGTGGTGGACCAGCAGGAACACTGAAATGGTACAGCAACACTGCTGGAGCCAAGAGCATCGTCACATCCAAATATATCCAGGCAACAGCAAACTCAGGAAACGACCAGTGATGAAGCTAGAAATGATCAACACAGATGTGCATGGAATATATGTGGTGCAGTTTTTAACTATACCAGCAGGAAATGTCTTATACATGTTTCAGATAAAGTGGCCAGTGAGTGTTTGTACCCCTGCTATTCACAAAAGCACACATGCTGGCCAAATGTTTGTGCTGTAATTCTAAGTTTAAAATTTTGGTCCAAAGCTACATTTTGCATGCAACAAATACCTTTTTTTAAATTTGGTCAGATGAGTAAGGTGGTCTCATCATGTGTGATGGGGGCATAAAACTGGGTATGATATAAAACTCCAGTTAGGAGTCCAGCATAGTTGGCCGATTCCTCTGCTCAAACACACCCCATTCAACTCAGCAGTAATTCCCAGAGTTAGTTGTTGGGTCAGAGCAGAGAAATCAACAAACTGCGCTGGACTCCAGCCCTCAGTTCTCTGACCCAATTCAGTGTAACAACACTTCCTTACTATCGTGGTGTTTTCTCCTCTCAGGGTCCTCATATGTAGTGTTATTGGTTGGTTTTCTGCAATCATAACTTCGTTGACACCTACTGTGACTCCAGGCTTTGACATTTAGGTAGTTTATGTTTATGTATGTTATTACTTTAATCAAATTAAATGTTTAAAAACACTTTTTTGTAAATTAAACCTTTTTTATTGAACATTGTTCTAATTGAACAGTTAACAGTAATGCATGTATGAAATCTCACCAATTTTATTAAACAAAAAATGCAAATAAAGCTTTTCAACAAAAAAAAGTGTTAATGTTGTCTTTGGCTCAAATCTGACCGAATCCAGAGTAGGAGGAGGAGATGCTCGCCATCAGGTCTCGGTGGAAATCTTCATAATTTGCGGTATTTTTCGAAAGCTTTAGAGTTAAAAAGCCTGTTGATGATTGGGGAAGGTCACAATCAACAACTTCCACCTCCAGTGATGGGGGAAGGACATCCCAGCCAGTCCAGAATGACAGCAAACTCTTCAAGAGGACCCTGAAAAAGACCCCCCCAAAACAGTATCAGCAACTGTTGTCATATTCTATCATATCATATATAAATCTTAAAAATTAAGTTATTATAACATCAAATGTGGCAAAATACCAGTTTCTATAAACTTCCGGAAAACAGCCTAGCACACGGCACTGGTCCTCCAGCGTGAGGACGTCTTCATCAACATCTTCCTCCCGTGGCCAGATAATCTCGTCCAGAATCATCTAAGAATGAGCGTTCTTAGTTCTTAGACTTAGAGGCAGTAGCTTTACTGCTTTTTTAAGGCTGAACTTTATCATAGATGGGCAGCTCTGCTGTTATTTGTTTGACTTACTTGAGATGTTATCTCTGTCTCAGTGGCCCTTGGGAACAAGATTGGCACAGTGTCTGGTCCAGAGCTAAAAAGCTCCGAAACACCAGTGTCTTTCAGGCCTCTCTTAATTTGCTTCACTTGCTTGGTAGTTCTTCCAAGACCCTGTAAATGTATTACAAAATGTTTGACAAGTTTCTGAAACTTCAGAAAGTAACATGCATAGACTAAACAAAACATAACATAACATAACATAACATAACATAACTGCCATTTCTTTAGGGTTGTTTGAAAAAGGGCTTTATACAGTGTTGTAAGTGTAAAATTCAATGATATCAGAAAACACAGTATTTGTTTTGTATCAACAGGAAGAAAATAAATAAAAATATTGTAAACGTGTGAAACTCATTGACTACATGTCCAGCATTTCTTTTAAATCATCATTATTAGAGGACTCTTGGTGGAAATCAAAGCTTTGAACAAGGTTGTGTATGTTCAGAATTCTTTCCCAGCAGGGGAGTCTAGAGCTGCATCATGTCACACATGCAGTCTTTACAGCATAAATACACATCTGGGTTATAAACAATGTCTTGTTTTCATTTCATGTCCTTTCATTGTTTCAAGAACACCATTAAACATTTTAACATTCATTATTGCATATTTGATTTTATGCAAACTAACATAAACCCAAATGTCATTTTCTATCTCGGAGGAAGATGTTTAACTTTCCTGCAGAATAACCCTCAAATCCAGAGGCAGAGTCAGGCTGAACTTCACAAGTATTAAACTTAAAGAATAAAATAAAATCTTACGGCATGGAGAAGAATTTTCTCCCTAAGCCACCACCTGTTTTCTGACGTAACACCAGGCAAGTCCCAGGGCAGGCTCACAGAGAGGACCATGGATTTCTGGTCCTCAGAAAGTTCCTGGGTTCCTTCCAACTGATTAAAGACATCAGAGGGTTCAATGAAAACTGAGAGTTTGCAAAAAGGTTCAAATGCAAACAAATTTAAGCTCAAAACACTCAAAACAGACATTACAAATAATGTGTCTTTTGAAGAAAGTAAACATATTTAAAAATGGCTTTGGTAAATAAACTAAAATTAAAAATATTTTTTCCCAAACCAGGTGGATGACATCCCGAACATCCTGGTCCACGCAGTCAGATACGCTAATTGCTGCCGTCTCTTGCTCCCCTCCAAAGAGTACATGCACTATGGCAGGGCTCAACCCAGCAAGACGTGGGCCATCATTTAAAAACAGTGCCCAATTAGCGTCCAGCTATGACAAAAAAATCACTTTCCAAAAGTGCCCGAGATGTGGAAGGAACAAGATGGTCTTGCTCGCCCTCAAAGAGCAAAGTCTTTACTCCTAAGAAGAAACACAATTCATTTTGATGGACGGGTGTCCATTTTAAAGGGACAAATGTGCTTTAAAAGGCTGCAAGGCTACCAAAATCAGTAGATATACTCAAGAAGGAAGCCATTCTGAAGATTTTCAGCACATACCTGTTGACTCCCTCACCGATTGCTGTGTCACCTTTCAAATCGAAACACTGAAAGTCAGGCAATGCAGTGAAGCAAACTTAGTCCCTGCTTACCATTGCTGAGATAACTTCAAGAATCAAGCAAATCAAAGTTTCATATTTGAGAATACAGAGAATGTACCTAGTATTTATCTAATGAATTGCCTCCTCTGAGTAAGCATTACATTCTAAAGGCCAGTAGACGAGGCATGTGATCAAGTTCCTCTGGAGATGATACAAATTTTGCTCCAATGTTGCTTTGTATTGGTATTTGTGAATGTGACAATAACTCTGTAATTAGGATCTCTGAGATTTTACAAATATTAACTTTTTTAAAGTCTATTATTAATATCTCCTCATTTTTCTTATAAATGTAGCTTGCCATAATGAATGATGGAAAGTCTAAAGAAAAAAGAAGCAAGCCAGCGACTGGAGGATAACTATAGCCCCAATGTGACAAAATAAATCAGGCGACATAATTTTATGAATAAGAAACAGGCTAAATGATGATTTACCAAAGATGATGTATCAATAAATGATTTACCAAAAATCATTGTTTGTCCCACAAGGTCATATGTCAATCACCCATCATATGCACATTCTTAGGTGGTACTTAATATATTATATTATGTGTCATTCTCAGTATGTTTTATAACTGTGTTATTTAATAAATAATTAGGATCATTACCAGTCAGTTTGCACTGCAGTGATTTAGACCACTGCACCTTTGGCCTTTTGTAAAAAGTAATGATAGCCCTGTTTCTTTCCACCAAGGAATCCCTCAAGCTCAGGGTGAAGTTCAGGTTGTCTGTGTCTTTATTAGCCTCAAGTGTTGACTGGGTGAACAGCTGAACTGCCTTGGCTGGATGTGGTTCTGTAATCCAAGCTTAACAGAAAAACAGTCAGATTTAATATATACTTATATACACTTATATAAAAAAATATGAAATGCAAAAAATATACATAAAAAAATTTGACTCGCTTGAGATGTTCAAACTGATTCTGTCCAGTAAGGTTTAACATTTTAAAAAGCAATTTCTTATGGACTTTCCAGTATCACCTGAGAGATAAAGTATACTGTTGGGCATGTGCTGACCATCAACACATACTGGACTCCTTGACACTGAAGTGCCAGATGAGTTTGCTGTACAGACAGACATAAAATATCAGGCAGTAGAATTAAAAATCTACATCTGTACATCACCAGGCGAGGGGTCTGACTCCCTGGTACATTTATCCTAATGGGCAACTAAAATTTAAAGTGCCACAGAAATTCAGAAAAATATTCAGAAAATATTCAGAAACCTTAAATTCTGTAAACTCCTGACTTGTCCCTTAATCTGTAACACACTGAGTACAAACCCTCAACTGAACCTGTCTCCAGACTCTCCTCCATTACCAAATCTACAGCGGGGTGCTGAGAGAAAAGTTGAGTCCCAGTGGTGCCAGATGCAGTACCCAAAACAGTCCCGGTGGTGCCAGATGCAGTACCCAAAACAGTCCCAGTGGTGCCAGATGCAGTACCCAAAACAGTCCCAGTGGTGCCAGATGCAGTACCTGATACAGTGCCAGAAGAATATGTTGTTAACATGACAATTATTTAGAAAGCTCACTGGGTTTATTTTAATCCAGGATAGAGAAAGTACTAAAAACAATGCAATTAATTTTTCCTTAACACATATGTTTATGCTCTCCACCCACGCTCTTGTACGTGGACGCGTATAGTGCCAAGCACTTTTAGTTGACAAGAGCATCATGCAAACAAGCATGAACATGCGGCTGGAACAGGAACACAATGCATTCATTTACGTTTTCAACAACTGAAAACGTTGCAGCATGTAGTCAAGACTGATCGATCACCAAACAGCAAAGAGCAGTATTACCTGAATGGCCATCACCATAAGACATTTCTGCTAAAGAATCCAGCTAAGACCAGCTTTGCTAGTAGCTGTTTTCAGACAGTCAAAGAGCCTGACAAGCCGCAAACATTGTCATGATGAACTTGGTCATGCTAACATATCCTATTTTGGGGTGCGTTTCTTGAAAGTGTCGTTGAACAACTACCATAGCTAAATGACAGATTATCATTTTTAACACTCTCTCTTTCCACGGTTACCACGGCGTATGCTTAACGACGCTTTCGGGAAATGCAGTAGCTACTGGTCAAAAGGCTAAGCTGGAGGTTAACGTTAATCAGCTAATGTTAAACCAGCTTGAGTTGGCCGTGCCAAGCAGTTTTTTAAGCATATACGATCTCACTCTCTAAACAATCTATGCATCTTAACGCTAATTCACGTAAGCTTTGTATTTGTAATTCGTGTTTAAGACATTGGTCTGAAGGTATAGTGGCTGATACTAAAACTACGAAAACATCAAAGTATAGTCAGAGACCAAAATAACCCTTAATATATATAAATATATACTTTTTACATCATAGCTCAAAATACATACATTGCTCCATTTCATCCAGGCGAGCAGCTGCCCTCTGAGCAGCTCAGAGATCAACCTTTCGCCCCGACATTTTGTCTTCATCACTCTTCAACTTTAATCAACTCTTCAACTACCTGATCTTGATGCTAAGCCTGAACGTGAAAAACACGCCCCTTCATTATCATATGAACAAAGAAATACAGAAATAAATAACGAATTAATGAAAAAAAATAATTAATTACTCAATAAAAAAACAATTGTTAAAAATATAGATACAGAAAAAATATAAAAATGAACATAAACATTAAGAAAAATAAATAATATAGAAATAAATAAATGAGAAATATATCACTGCAGAAAAAAGGAATTGTGTATAATTACAATCAAAATGAGCAATATATACATAATTCAGTTTTTTTATTTGTGGATTAATTTACTGAGTCTTTTTTTATTTATTTATTTTTCATTTTGGCAGACCGAGTCCTTCATACCTGCGTTGTCATTGTGACGCCTTCGATTGCGGTGGAAAGACATTCCAACTGAATTTAAGCCAAAGTCAAGACGTCACCACGATAAACACGAAAAAAGAAGCGGAAGTAAAGGCGTCTGCCGGTATCCGCCACATGCAAGCGCCTTTTTTGCCATTGTGACGCGTTCGATTGCACTAGAAAGACGTTCCCAACGGAATTTAAGTCAAATTAAAAACGTCACCACGACAAACACGAAAAAAGGGGCGGATTTAAAGGCGCCTGTCGGTATCCGCCACATGCAAGCGCCTTTTCGATCATTGTGACGCCTTCGATTGCACTAGAAAGACGTTCCAACTGAATTTAAGCCAAATTAAAGACGTACACCAC